GTATAAGTTATTTTAAATCATGTCAAATGAAGAACTCCACAACATATTACGAGTATAAACTATATATCTACCAAATTAAATCGAGACTAACATAATACAGAGTGTAAACTATATGCCTACCAAATTAAATCGAGACTCCTTGATATGAGTTTAAATTATGTACAAATTTAAAATGAAACTCCTAGATAGGAGTTTAAATTTATATAAGCCTTGAAAAATTCATTCATCAAGTAAAAAATAATACATTATTTTCGCATAAAATTATGAATCCCAAGTTTGGCTCATCAACATCAACTCCATTCTCATGTGACAGATGATAAAAATACAAAAGTGAGGTTGAAGCTATCAAATAGTAGTAACACATAGGGCAATACACTCTCCTGAGTATAAATTGAGTCAACATGATTTTTATACTCTGTTTTTTGTTGTTACTACAATGAAACTCACGTCATGTTTGTAGGTGCGGTAGCGTTTCAATGTCTGCTCTGGAGAACGACCGAGTTTGAGGTCGCAGATTTTGAGATCGACACTAAATTTATTCCAACACGAAAGAACTCAAATCTTAACGAATAATTCCAAGAACAAGCTTGAACACGAATTTCACCTTGAATAATGAACGAACACGAAGAATGTTCGAACACAAACGAACACGAGCTCAAAACGCTTGGTTCGATTGGGTTGCACACTCATCCACCCAATGCATTGAATCCAAAATAAATAAATAAATAAATAGGTAAAATGGACCAAATTAATGAAAGCATAACTTTAACATACTATTTAAGAGAGTGGAGAAAAAGAACATACAAAAGGTCACCTAAATTATATCTTCTCTAAAAATTCCAGTTTGTAAGCTTCCATTAGGCCATATGGACATCTCTACAAACTGGACAACATCTAGAAATTTCTATCTGCAAAGAAATATACACAACCCATAAAAACTTCAAGTCTTTTTTATCCATTTTAACCTCTTTCATTTTTTGTCACCAGAGGCAAAATGTACAACAAAATCATCTTCACTAATCAAGATTTGCAGAACAGCTCTTTCACCATTGATTGTCCCGTTCGTAAAAAAACCAAACGAAGTAAAGTTCACTGCTTGCAATGATCTGGAATTAGCCGTTTTAGAAGTTCCGAAGATGCACCAGCCAGTTCTGGAAGAAGTAAAGAGCAGATAGTTGAATGGAAATTCGAGTCACAAATGATATGATTCGAATTCGAGCAAGACAGTGACAAAACTTAACTAACCTTCGGCTGCAAAATTGAAAAGGGTAGGTAATGGTCGGCCGTTTGGTAAGCATGCATTAGGTTCTCTCAAGTCATCAAAAAACGGGTGTGCACAAGCCTCCAACTGAAAAGTAAAAATCAAAATACATATGCATAACTTGTTCTAGAAAAAGGAAAAAAAAAAAAAAAAGGAATTTTCCCGGGTAAAAAGTGAGCAATAAATAGATCAATGGCTTACTGCAGAAAATCGTAAAGTCGGTGAATATTGGAGTAGCCTTGAGACCAAATCCACTGCTTCAGGGGGCATTCTTTTATGAAATACCTGAAAAAAAAGCACCATTTCAAATCTCTCTGGTTCGTTTTTCCCCGGTTTTTTTTTTCAGTTTTTACATTATTCTTTTTCTTCGTATAGAGTTATATTTAGACGATTTGATTATGAGAAAATTAGGAAATTTGAGTTATCGACAAACCTTGTGCCAAGGGTGGGCTTTAATCTGAGGGAACTTAAATTCACTGTAATTCGGGTTCATGCACTTGATTTCCTCTCGGGTCGGTGTCCCCAAAACCTTGATACGAATAATTACAGAAGCAATTTAGATTTGCACGAAAAAAAATTGCATATTTCACATTTTATTTATTTTAGACAAAAATGTTGTACCTTAATTATTTCAACTAGTTGATCAACACTGCTTTCACCAGGAAATAGAGGCTGCATGTGTCAAATAATGTCTCAGAGCACGATTTTAACAGAAAAAAATGGAAAAGTTAAAAAAAAAAATGGAGAAGATGTATAAACAAGGTAAAAACCAGCCAATTTAACACCAATATGTATACATTTTCATTGAAGGTAAAGTATTACGAGCGGATTTAAGAGACAAGAAGGTTAAAATTGTGATTAAAAAAATTGTATTTCGAACGTGAACCAAAAGCACTTACACGTCCAAGAAGTAGCTCGGCCATAACACAACCAACCGACCACATATCAATTGCAGTTGTGTACTCTGTGGCCCCAAATATTAGTTCGGGAGCTCTGTAATAACGAGAGCAAATATACGAGACATTTGGTTCGCCAGGTACCTTTCACAACAAAACCAGAAAATCTCAGTATGTGCCCATGGGGCATTATCGGTTATCCACATTTGTTTGAAAAATAAAAATGAAAATAATAACGAAATTATATACCAGCATTTTTGCACTGCCCAAATCACACAGCTTTAGCTGATGTGTGTGAGGATTAACCTACAGCAAGAACATTATATTAAAAGCCAAAATTAAAATTTAACAGTCACTGAAATTTGGGAGGAAACCCAAATTTGAATATGTATAAAGAATTATGGAAACATTTTATATCCGTCACGGAGAATTAAAAATTAGATCTTTGACGAAGGGAAATAAGAATCATACCATAAGAATATATTACATTACTTTTTTTTTTTTTTTTTTTTNNNTTTTTTTTTTGAGAACATGAATACTTCCTAATTCATACTTAGCATATTCGTAAAATTAATTTATTAAAATAAAACAACCATACCAGAAGATTCTGGGGTTTAATGTCTCGATGACATACGCCAATAACTCTATGCATATAATTCAAAGCTCGGCATATCTGAATTTTCAAGTAACAAGGGAAAAAGTATCAAAAAATGGTTCATTGAGGTAATAATATCATCAGACAACACAAAATGTTACAAAAAGCAACATAAAATAAAAAATACATACCTGGTAAGTATAAAGCTGCACATATATAACGGGCATGTATTGGTTTGCTCGAGTATAATGCCTTGAAGCACGATAAACAGTCTCCGATACATACTCGAGCACGAGATTAAGGTACACCTCGTTGTTTTCGGTAGTTGAATAGAAATAGTGCTTAAGCTGAATAACGTTCGGATGATTAAGCAAGCGCATTATCTGAAGTTCTCTGTTTTTATACCTTCTATCTTGTAGAACTTTCTTTATAGCAACTGATTCGCCTGTTTCAAGGCATTTAGCCTGCAAAATCGTACAATTTCAGTGTTTACAAAAAATATACTTAAAAAAAGAAGAAAAAAAATATTTAACACACGTTCTTCTAGAAATACCTGGTATACAACTCCGAACGAACCAGTCCCAACAACACGCTCTGCCATGTAAGACATTGTCTGTTGAAACAAAGAAATGGAAAATATATATCTACTTAAATAGAGCTAAAAAGTTTCTTCAAAAGAATAGACTAAGCTTATCGGAAACAACTTATATATGAGCCTAAGATGGGGGGCCGTTTTAACAGCTTATGAGGTGCGTTAGAGTCGTGTTTGGATAATAAATCGTTCAAGTGTTCGAAGAGAAGAAGATTTTGGTGCTGTAAAGATATAAACATAGGTAACTTGTAATTAGAGCTTACAATCACTTTGAAAGAGGGGTAAAGGGAAAAAAACAAATAAACTAATTGATAAACACTCCATAATCAAGGATAAAACAAACAGTTTAGAAAAATTCGACCAGCAAAAATCAATCAATCACCTGTTTTGGCTGTCCATTCCGGCCACCAATCGAAGTCACGATTATCTGACCTGTTTCAGTACTGCTGCCGCTAACAACACTCGGTTCCATTTCCTTCAAAAAATAAAAAAATAAAAAAAGAACCAAAACTCACAATTTTAGTAAGACATTTTACCAGATAATCCACCTTCGAGTACACACTAACCGTAATATATAAAATCAACAAAAAAAAGAAGACCTTAGCTGTATCCTCATGATCATCAGTTTTATCCTCTCTAATTTTCATCTCATTCATTTCCTTGGGAAGCTCGTGTACGTCAGATGTGCTAGCAATAGCTCCAGTTGAGTTAGACTCCATATTTACATCCCGAGCTCTCGAGTTATTTTCTTTTTCTCCAATCTCCACTTCATATACAAAACTCTGGTCTATTTCTTCCTCGACCTTTGCTCGTTTAACGCAAGAATCCCCGCCCTGAAATTGATGTAACCAAAAATCTTCAAAAATAGATCGAATTTGTAAACCTAAAATACGAAAGTGTTCGAAATTCAAAATGTGGCCGGACACATGAAATTCAAGAATCTAGAATCGAAACAAAATTACTACTCAAATGCAAAAGTCATGTAACTGCAGGCTCAATCCACAACAGCAGCATGAAAAACAGCTAAAGATAAACATACTCGAAAATCCGCACTATACTCAAGTTAAGAGAAATCTAGGAAAAAAATATAGTAACATATAAAAGAAATTCCACAAATTTATCACAAGGTAAAATATCCTCCACCTTCACTACCCAAATCCCCTCAGCCAATAAAATAAAAATTTGATGAAAAACCAAACTAAGCAAATGGATACAGAAGATGAAGACAAAAGAATCTGCAGCTTGAAAGATTTCAAATTTCAGTTCTATACATTGCACAAAACTAAACAAAGTCTAGCAAAGAGAAAAAGAAAACACACACACATACAAAACACAAGTTTTGCTATCTTCAATAATCTTATCTACATTTTTAAGAAGCTCCCCACATTACCAATATCAACAATAAACATAGGGAGATGCTACGGTCCCGTTACGGAACTATTTCGTCGAGGTATGTAAACGTTAGATCAATTATCTCTGACTGTTACATGATGCTCTAACGGTTACAAACTCCGACGAAATGGTTCCGTAACGAACCGTAGCATTTCCCATAAAACCATAATTTAAAAGGTAAAGAAAAGATCCAATCTTTTTGCTATCATCTGGCATATCCTCAATTTTCTCAGGATTACGATAATAAAAACTACTACAACTTTCTCACAAAAAAACCTAGAAACCCACCTCATTACATCAATCCACAATCAGCACAACACTTTTACCCCATAAAACTATGCATCTTATTACATAAACCAATCATCCTTAGCCATTCAAAACTAATCTTAGATCAATATCATTAACATAACCCAAAAACATACAAAAAAACATAATTTAAAACAAACATTACAGGATCTGAAACCGACGAGCGGCCGGAAGCAATGCTCTTCAGCCGGCGCATCATATTCATTTTACTTCACCCAAATCCAGTCAGCAATCAAAAAATCAAACTCCCAAATGGAGATTCTTTCAAACAGATAAAAAAAAGATCTCTTTTTTTATTTATATATACAATGTAAAAATCTCTCCTTTTTTCCCTCTTTCACCTCCTCTGCAGCTCACTCGTCAACCCACAAAAGAATAACAAAAGCCCACCATCAGAAACAATGAGCAAATGCAGGGAAAAAGATTAAAGGGCAAAAAAAAATGAAAAATTT